CATAATCGGCGCATCTGGCGTCGGAAAAAACAGCATCCGTGGCCAGGTGCGCCCCTCATGTCCCTCTACCGTTCAAATTTCTAACGGTACAGCTCGCGGCACATCTCCGCGCGCTTCAGCACGTGTTACCACGCGACTATTGGCGGCGCTGGGCTCGCCGTTTGTGTGCGAGCTGGTACCAAGGCTGGAGACGTTGCCGCTGTCGCCGCGCAGGGTGTACATGACGAGGATCCTCGTCGGACGTGGCGATCTTTGAGCTGACCGCGCGCCCCGCATCGCCGTTCCCCCGCAGGACTCCCCCACGCCCTGCAAACCCCCGTGCGACTCGTGGAATCAATGAAACCTGAATGAAGCCGTTGGCTATGTGGTTTGGTTAATTCAAAGTTTGCAGGTTCATGCTTCCTTCGATGGCATCAATGCCGTTCTGAGAGATCCAGTCCATCTTTTCTGTCCTCTATTGCCTTCAACTCAGTCACTGCGCCGGCGGATCCCCACCCACATGTTGTTCGCCAGGGCATCCACTGTCCACATCCGCATCCCCTTCGAGCCATCACCGTTGATCCCCAGATCACCGCTCACCCGCTTTTAACCTGTGAAAACCGCCTACCTCGGGTCAGCCACGTAGCCCGAGTCTCCCCAAAAGTTTGGCTTAACAGGTATAAAGGCGCGATGCTTCAAGGAAGCTGTTCGCACATCGACCACGGATTCCACTCACTAGACCTGCGATGCTACGAGTCTTGAGTACCCTCACGCACCTTGTTCCAACGGTTGGCAAGTATCTTGCATTCCTTGTACTCCTGCTTAACGCAGGGTCGCTTCCGGGAGTCTGGCATCGTGCGTCTTCGTGTAAATGACTGTAATCTGGTTGTTTACTATTTTATCCCCAGTCCGCGTCTTCTCCAGCGCCATCTCCTTCCAGCTCCAGCTAGGCCTTCTCCAACTACGAACCTTCTTCTGGTGCAGAGCCGATCAACAGAAAGCCGTTCAGGCGTGGTATGAAAAAAGACTACCGATCGGAGAGCATCCTTTCCGGTGGAGCATGCGCTGTACGTCGTGGGTTAGTAAGTGGCATATGTTCTGGCCTTGCCTTCATACATGCTGACGTCTGCGAAAAAATTAATCAAGGCATTGACGACGCCGATTTCAACATGCACATGAGCAATTCGTCCTACGCCAAGTGCCTCGACTCCTTGCGCCTTCCCCTTGCGAAGTTACCGAATCTGTTCCGCGCAGGCGCGTGGATTCCGTTGGCGGGTGTGTTGCTGCCTATTTTGTCCGAGTGCCGGCTATCTATCTTGCTAAATTGGTGTACCAGCAACGCACTACCACTTCGTCCGCGAGATTCCCATCTTCGCGCGCTACGAGATTCGCACGACCATCGGTGCCTGGGATGACAAGTGGGTGAGTTGGGTTGTTTCCACTTCATCTCGAACTCTCCTCTCTCATTTCCCTTTTTTTCGAGATGCCTCCTTAAATTTATTTCATCTACTATATGATATTCCACCTTCTCTTCTTCCATTTCTTCCCTCATCATCAACTTCAAATATCCGCACGCTAACTTCGCTCGGCTCGCAGATATGGACCATCCATCGCTTCGTCACCCCATCTAAAAAATCGAAATCAAAACCAAAATACGCGATCGAAAGTACACCCTCGCATGCCGACTCCATTACCACCCCCGCCCTCGCCGGAACGACTCCCAATGTCAATGGCCTTGAAAACTCCGGTGCAAAAATGAACGGGTATGCCAGCACACATACCAACGACGGCACAGCGACCCCAGAGGCAATTGGGCGCACGCTGCTCGCCGCGGCCGTACGCGAGGAGGAGCCCGAGGGAGGCGTATTGTGCAGTACGTTCTTTTCTGTTCTTTTTTCAGGTGTGCTTTCCTCGGAGATTTTGACGAGAGTCGAGTTCAGTCACGTTCAAGTTATCTAGCTCGCTTCATATGTTTCTCCTCCCAAAACACCTTTATTAATCATACTAATTGCGCCCAAATATCACTCCTAGCCATCGTTGTATCGCAGCTCTGCTTCAAACAAGGCCGCATCACCATCCCTCCCGCCGTCGTCCTCGCGTCGAACGGGTTCTGCGCCCCACCGCCGTCGCCTTCCTCTCCATCTTCGGGAAACCTGCAAAAACAAAGTTCCTCCGACGCAACGTCTTCCCACTTCACCGCCTCCATCCGCGCACTCTCCACACCCACCGCCGGCGGCTCCCCACGACGCGCCCTCGCAGCCTTCTACGCAGGTGGCTGGCGCACCGTACCCCCTGCCGAACGCTGGTGGGACCACGCCCTATCCGGGCTGGACGCGGAATTACGGGAAAGACTACGGCTGTTTGGCGAGGAGGGGCTGAAAGGCGGGCTGGGTGCGGTAAGGGCGATGAGATGATCTCTTAGAACTTCGAAAGAGATTCGAGTTGGAGGAGATGCATATAGATTAGATGGCTTGGGATACGTCCTTTTTTCAAGGCCATGAATGGACGGACGGTTCTGATTGCTTTTATCGTACTAGAATGAACCGGCATTCCACTGACATGAACTAAATGTGGCTGAAAATGAACTGGGTACGGATTTGGATACACATACGATTAATCGGACTCCTAAATTTTAATGACAACCTTACCGACGTAGCCTTGTGCTTCCATGTGCGTAAACGCCGCCTTTGCCTCTACGAAAGGGAACACTTTATCTACAACAGGCCGGGTTGCATCGACGTTCGCCTCCATCATACTCTTGAATCTGTAGATCGTCTCAGCCATATATCGACGAGTGGGAAGTTACCCTAAAACAGAGAGAAACTTCTGTGCTAGTTTTGCAGAAGAGTTCACAACTAATATAGAACGCACGAGACTGCCCACGACCCCTATGATATCGATGCTGCCACATAGCTTGATGGAGTTGAGGGATTGCTTGAGAGTAGCAGTGCCGCCCGCCTGGAAGGAGTGAGCACTGATCCACAGATGGATTCAGAGTTCCAAACCTCGACGCCTCCCGTCAACCTCATCACTTCCTCGTCCCACTTGGGGTACACTGGTGGGGAGTCGAAACCCGACTCGTCAAGAAATTCACAACCTGAAGGTCAGAGCTGAATCATTTTGACGCGTGTACCATACACCACCTGCACCTATTTCTATCCCTTTGAACGCAGTTGATTAGATGGTTATTCTGGGGGAAAAAACTCCACCGTTGAAAGCCAGGAAAAAGGACAATGCTAGAGCGGTATGCACCGGAGGGAAGTCGAACCCCGGGCTCATCATAGACTGCAGCGACCACGTGGAATCTTCTTGAGACGTGTACCGTACACAACCGGTGCGCCTTTCTATCTCATTTCGCCGGGTTTAATCGGGGAGGAAAGACAGGGTGCTGAACGCTGAACATGTGGTAGAAAAGGGGTCTAACGGGGCCGCATGCACCGACGCGGAGCTGAAACCCGGGCTCGTCTAGACATCTGAGGTCTACCTGCAAGGAGCTGGCACGTGGGCCCGCTGTCGGGCGTCTCGAGGCGCGAGTGCAGCGTCGAAAGGGCTGGGTACACCTGGAATTCCAACGAGCTGACAGAGACGGTGTGTTCACCTGAGAGGGCGTGCGTGGTGGTGAAAGGCTGGCGGCTGGTTAGTATAAGAGAGCCAAGTGGCGCACTGGCACTGCGGGCGGTGGGGTACACGGTGGCGGCCGCAGGGGATTGAGCGGGAAGGGAGATTTGAGCTGGCGCGCAATTCATTCTCGTAGCTCCTGTCGACGTGCTTTTGCTCGTAGCCGTAGTGAAGGTAGCCGCCAACACCGAGCCATTCGCCTGCATCGACTGCGGCCGGAACCCCGTCCAACGCGCTGTGAGCTTGTGCGCGCGGCGGAAGCACGACATGCAAATTGCGTGGGGAAAACAGGGTGAACAGCGGAGAATGTATTAATATTGACTAGATCCAGGGCCTACCCACATGATGCGTCGTTCGACATGGTAGGAACGAGACGCTGACACTACCAGAACACCGGCATCGGCTGGATACTTAGGCTGTATGCGTTCAGTGGCCGATGGCGGAAGGGCGGTAGCAGTACCGGAAGGGCGGGAAGGAAGGGCGGGAAGGAAGGCTCGAAACTTTGACGCGTCAGCCACGTGGGCGGACAAATAAAGGACAACAACGCGTGTCTTCTTCAGGGGACATATGTTCTGCTGCACGATTGTGCACGGGTGACCGCACCAAATTTTTGACTTACATCTTCAAAGATATATGATGGTAAGAAGTGGCTGGCATCAATCAAACGGGTGGTATTCTCCCGAGTCCCAATAACTTTCCAACCAACCAACCGCGCGCAATCCTGGGAACGACGAACAATGAATAAATAAAAGGAGGACTTCTATAGCCGAAGGGCTCGCGTCCGCCATTGCTTCAATAACTCATGTAAATCCTGATAATAAATAAGCTACGATTCGCGTCCTGTAATCTTCTACCGTCCTACTCGCACTTAGACAGGAAATAACCCACAAAGCGCTGGTGGTGTTCGGGATTACGCGCCACACTTATTCAAGTTGAAGTTGTTACTTCCGGCTCATAGTCCGCTGAAAGCCTGGTCAAAGAATCGAAATCTATTTTCAACCATCAAACCATCCCACTCGCATTTAAATCCAGGGGATGAAATAACCGCGGTGGTGCACCGCCCACGCATTCCTCTCCATCACTTCTACCATCAAGGACGAATGATCCCAGGATCCCCCTCCCCGCCAGATCGGGCTGGGTTTTATCTTCTTACATTCGATAGAATTGGGCATCAGCCCCTTCCGCTCCGAGTTGATTATTTCGTATATTCCATCCTCCGAACTCATTAGGGAACCCAAATTAAATCCTGGTAATATGAAAAACTCTGTGTACATACGTCGATTTTCAACCACCCGAATCGCATTTAAATACGGGGTGCCCTGGTAACAGGAAAAAATCACTTCCTTTAATTTTCAACCATCCTACCTCGCATTCAAATCCAGGGTATGAAATAACCTCAAACAGCGCTGGTAGTGTAGGGTACACGCATCCCCATATTCGACCCGTACTCTCAACTCCATGGATGAACAACCGGGGTTCGACTCCCCGCCAGCGCATGCAGATCCCGGCGCGCATTTTTTTTTTTTGCCGAAATTCGACGGTCAACTGGAACATTCAGTCCATTCCTCCTATATACTCCATCCCCGTAAGACATGCAATCCTGATTTAACAGACTCCAATCACATCCTGATATATAAAAAAAACTCGAGTGCTGTTCACTCACCTCACTGCCGCTCAAAGGCGAACCCGCCTACCGAGATTTAATATACCACGCATCCCTCATTATCAAGGACCGATACTCCCGGGGTTTCGGTTTTCCAAGTTGCTCTAACGAACCGAAATTAAATCCCAGCAACACAAAAAAATTGAGTACGTTTTGCAACCGTCCCAGTGGCAGTTAAACATGGGGCATGAATTATCCCAACAAGGCGCTGGTCTCGTGTAGGGGACATGTATCCTCCAGATGATGTTACACCCAGATTTGGGTTCATGGATGAACGACCGTGGTTCGACTCCCCACCAACGCATTCGAAATCGCACCGGTTTTCTTCTTCTTTTATTCCATGGAATTGGGCACCAGCCTCGTCCGCTCGCCGGTCTCTTACATTCCACTCTTTAACGAACCCAAATGTAAATCCTAGTAACAAGAAGAAATCGCGTATTTTTCAAACATTGACCGATACCTACATACCAGGATATGAGATAGGCGCTGGTAGTGTACGGTACACACATCCTCAGATTAGGTATATCATTTCATCCCAATATTCCGCCGGATGACCCGGGGTTCGACTCCCTGTCAGCGCATTCGATTTTGTGGTGGTTTTTCTTCTTTTGTTCGCCTGATATGACATGAATTACGATTCGCGAGCTCTTTTGACCATCCCAATCGCACATAAATCCTGGGCAAGAAATAACCGCGTACAGCGCTGGTAGTGTACGGCTACACGCATCTTCCAGATAACGGATTGTTGATACATCGAGTTCATAGATGAACAACCGGGGTTCGACTCCCCGCCCGCACATGCCGGAATAGTTGCCACCCTTTTTGTAAGAAATTCGACATGCAGCATTCACTGGCAGTTCATTCCTCCTATATCCATCTCTCCATCTATCCAAGCACACATTCAAATCCAGGTAAGAATAACCGCGTACTGCGCTGGTAGTGTACGGTACATGCATCCTCCAAATGGTTGTTCGCACTTTGGTCTATGGATATACAACCGGGGTTCGACTCCCCACCAGCGCATGCGGATGAGTAGAACGTGTTTTTCCCTTTCTTTTTGGTGCGACGTCTACACATCAAATCAACTCAACCAGACGCCAGGGTATCCATTCCAGCATAAATGACACACATAAGATAAGTAAAGCGTAAGTAAGTAAATAACAATCCGAATCCGCACCGATACATAGAGTAACATTAAAAAAATAGATCCATCGGCCGTGCATGTACATACCATTAAAAAAAGCATTACGCCCTCCCTATCCCTCCTCCCTGTCCCTCCTCCGCACCACACAGTCGCAATCGAACCCACACACGAACACGAGCGCTAACAACACCTCCCCCCCTCCCCACCCACACCCCCATCGCCAGCACCCCTCAACCCCAGCCTCAACCTCTCCTCCGCGCCTCCTCTCTTCCCACCCAAGTCCCCAGGCGACCTGGGCCCACCAGAATCAGGTGATAAAGCGGAATGATGCTGACCCAACATAGACGGCGGCCGCACCAACCGCCCCGCCACCCACCCAAACACCGCCTCCACGCCCGTCCCCGTGCGCGCCGACACGCGGAAGTGCGCCGCCCCCGCTGCAGAGGGCAGGGGCAGGTCCGCGGCGTCGAGGAGCTGCAAGTCCGCCGCACTCCCACCACTACCACTTTCGCCTGCTGCACTGCTCTTCTTCCCAGCAGACGTGGTGGGAGCGGACGTCCCCGAGCCGGATGTCAACGACGTCGTCCCCGTATCAGTCGAAATCGACGTCGAATTCGAATGCCCCGTCGAACTCGAATACCCAAAATCCGCCAACGCCCTCGCCCCCGCGGGGAAGTGGTGCTGGTACGGCAGGGGCGAGAGCGCAGAGGTGCTGGGCGAGGGCGTTTCAGTTGTATTTACAGACGCGGTAGGCAAAGTGGTAGGTAAAGAAAAAGGGGCACGGTGAAAGTGCCGATGTTGCCACACGCTGCCGCAGCACTGCCGCAGGTTGCCGCAACCAATGCGGCAAATATGTCACACTGCCGCAGAGTTCGCGCAAGCTGCCGCAAGACACTACAGACGACTGTATGAGTTCATCTAAGCCTCTAATCTATCACAATTCACGTCGCCAACAATATTTACTACTCGACACCAATGTTGGCAATGTTGGCAATTTCAATGCCACAAGTACATTTGCTGACCCCTCGGGAAGGTGGCTTGGACTTCTTGTAAACCAGGAAGCACTGTAGTGTATACTGAGCAATGAATCCACCAAAAATTCTTCAGGTTCCTCTTCTCTTAGAGCTGGAGTCAGAAAATATAAATTGAACATAACTCGGGGAAAAAAAAGATTCTATACGGTTTTCATTCAGCGAACCTCAGTTATTAGCTTAGATACACCCATATCCGGCCTAATCTCAAAAACCAATTTCTTCAGTCAAAAGCATATTGTGGAAAGACTGCCGCAGGGTGGCTGTGTTATTGCCGCAGCCACTTTTTCGAACAGTTGCCGCATTGAGTCCCATAATTCGAATTTACTGCGTTTTAGGGCCCAAAGAATCCAATACATTTGCTTAACTGAATGTGTACCAAAATCCGGGCATTTATCAACGAATCCAGCCCATTCGGGCACAGCAGAAAATATCTGCCGCAGGGTGGCTGTGTTATTGCCGCAACCAAGGTTTAATAACTGCCACAGGCTGTTTTACAGTCTGTTGCGCGCTTGTTTGGGCCATGAAACCGGCGAGAATAGGTGTAAGATTCACATTAGATATGATGAACCGCACATGAATCGAAGTAAATGGATTTAGTTTTGAATCGTGGCCTGCAGCCTGAGCAGTGTCAGCGACGAGTTTAACCAGACACTGTGCACTGTTCCGCCCACCAGATACAAATAAGTTGCAGTGTTGAGTGGGATTGGTAAGCTGTAGTGCCTAGCAGCTATATATAAAGACTGTGGCTGGAGCCATTCACTGAAATCGTTGGGTTATACAAGTGACGACGATGAGCAGGGTTGAAGTTGAATCCCGTTGACGTTGGTGGTCCGACTTGAGCTGATGTGATAAATAATATGTAATGTGCAAATATGGAGACGCGATGCTGCCGGTTCAAGCAATACGATTCTGCGACGTCCACAGGAACTGCCGCTGTGCAGTGCCGCAGCGTGTTGAATTGCTCTTGCTGAATTGCCGCAGCCTGCCTCACACAAGTCACATTGCCGCGATGTCACACCGCCTGGCTGCCGCATACTGACGCAGAATGGCTGCGGCAAAGTACTAGACTGCCGCATCCATTCATAGTTTGCCACATGTAATTGCTGCAGAGTGCCGCACCCACTCAAGTTGCATTTGTTTGGTTGCCGCAGAGTGCCGCAGGCTGCCGCAGCCAAGTCGCCTCTTAAGGCCCCAAGACATTGAACATCGCAGGAGGCTTATGCAGGAAGACTGAAAGACCAGTAGGGTCAAAGAATTGAAGCCTTCACGTCGTCGTGGCTGTCGATATACGCGGTTTTATTTTTAATTTCTGCGGCAGTGCAACACAATTGCCGCAGAGTGCCGCAGCGGCAGATGCTGCGGCACTTTATCCTTGCCCAAGAAAAAGGAATGAGGACGCTGGGCCGCTGCTGCTTCGTCTTCTGTTTGTTGGGCTTGCCGTTGGTCTTGGCGGGGGGGTTGGACTTTGGATTTGGAGTTGGAGTAGCGGCGGTGGTGCCGTTGGTATTAGCCCCGTTGACATTAGCAGGTGCACCGTTAACCGGCGCAGGCACAGGCTTAGGGAACGCGAATCCCCGCACGCGCACGGGCGTGCTCTCGGCGTCCGCGTCGTCCGAGAGCGTCGGGGACTGCAGGGGTTTCGGGGGACGTGGGTGAGTCAGATAGGTCATCAGAGGCGGATAAATGATTGGAGGAAGAAGAGAATAGATGGTGCGAGGACGACGAGCAGCGCGCGGGCATGACCGTGAGCTCGGAGGCGCTGCGCGCGGCGGGGGAGGGGTCGCGGCCGTTAGCCATGCCGGTGGGCGAATATGGCGCAGACCCGAACGACCCGCGCGGCGGTGACACCTCGTACGTCGAGCTGCGCGGGAGTGGAACACGTCGGACGCGGCGTCGGAGAAGACGGATGAGGAAAGCGTGTGGTAGATTGTAGCGTAGAGGTGAGCGTCGAGGCGCGCGAGGCGGACCGCGCGCTGAGGTTGTTTGAGTTGGATGCGCGCGAGGCGACGGCGCGGTGCGTGAGGTAGCTGGTCCACGAGTCGCGCGCTGGGCGGGAGGAATCGCGGCTCGAGTTGCGCTGTGCGTTGGGCGTGGTGGGTGAGTCACGCGGGCGGTTGCGGAGCGTGGGGGGGGTCTTGCGGGGAGAACGTGAACAGCGGAGGCCCAGGGCTTACCCACATGATGTGTCATTCGACACGGTATGAACGAGACGCTGACACTACGAGAACACCGGCATCGGTTGGATACTTGGGCTGTATGCGTTCAGTGGCCGATGACGGAAGGGCGGGATGGAGAGCTCATGCTGAGCGCTGGACAACAAAAAGAAGTCATGACTCGGAGCTCTGATGCGTCAGCCACGTGGGCGGACAAGTAGGACACCAACGCGTAGGGGATTGTGAAGAGCATATGTACTGTTGCGCGACCGTGCACGGGTGACCGCACCAAATTTTTGACTTACATCCTCAAAGATATATAATTCACATGCCCTCCGGGCACCCTGGTACCGTGAACTGCAACCTATACCCGTACCCCTGGAATCTGGATCCTGGACTACGGGAAGAGCATATCGAGTCATTAATATTGTGTCTCCAGAAGCACAATGCGTTGCATTCAACCTAGCCTATCTATATTACTCGCGAACCTGGGCTCAGGTTC